TTTCTCTTCGCCTTTTTGTTTCTAGATCGTGAGCCTGCTTCGTATTCGTACGACAGCTCGCGAGAAAGTCTTGCTCTCTGCTTTAGACTCTCGTTCAACCTCGAAAGCGACTGATCTTTGGCGACGAGTTCATTCGAAAGGATATTTTTCATAGAAATGTAAAAAACAGGCCCGGCACTTCAATAAATCATTGAAATATAACGCAGGCTTGATCCTGGCTTGTCCATTAATTTCTCAATATTTCGAACGACGCACGAACACGTTACGAGACGGTACGAACAACCGTAGCATAATTGTCTACCACGTAAAAATCAATTTTCTGTGAAGCAAGTATCGACTCACAGACGGACACAGACGATCAAAATTGCCCACGACGATTTCGAAATCGACACCTCGACCAAACCGTGATACCGTGTTCTCAGTTACTGAGAACTATACGTGGATATATCGATCACCTATATATTGTATCGAAAATATGGCTACCAGATAGGAGCTCCGGCAACGTTATCTGTTTGATAACACCCTATATAGATTAGTTTGACTACTGTAACGTCAGACAGGACTGTACACGTTCAGAATATAGACTATAGACCAAAAATTTGGTAACACTTTCTTAATTGTGTCGATCAAATATTTGGAACTTGTAATGCGTGTTCTATAGGATCTGAGAATTTCGAATAGATCGACTTGGAATTTTATTTATTTTAGTATTTTAGTTTCTTTCTTTGATAAAAAATTATTCATTTCCGTAGCATTAATTTAATAGATTTAATAATAATGATTAATTTAACGAGTTAATTAATGAAATTAATACGATATTGGTATAATTAATGGTATGGTTGTAAAATGTTTGACCAGTAAAGTGTATATTGATTCATCTGCTAATTTTCTCATTAATTCGAAATTAATGCTCCAAATATATAGATGTATGATAGAATTGTTTGCCGTAATATCATTTTTGTCACCAAGAAGCTTCTTACGATAGCGGAATTGGAAATTTGCTTCTGTCGAAAATTGTCTTGCCACGGTCTATCTTTTAATAATTTTGAATAATGTAACTTTGGTGAGAAGGTTGGTCTGTTAAACGTAAAGACAGTTTATCGTTGCCATCGTTGCGTCAGGGGAAAAAGTTGTCGCGAAGTAGAAAAGTACGGTATAGAAGAAGTAGAAATAATAGATTGCCATATCTTTCACGTGTGGTTTCATGTTGATATCTCGGACCAATGGTAGTGATCTGTGTTACTGTTTCTATGCTAGCCTGACATAAAAAAGCTCCCAATAGATACGCACGTACAATATTTACTATCACTGTTTTTATTACTTCATAATTACATTACACGATAGACATTCTTCACATCAATTTTGTGCTTTATATATCGTGTCATTCTGGCGATAATCACCTCGTTTGATATAATTTCAAATTAATTTGGCATAACTTTTAATTTCATCAAATTTCCATTACTTTAACACGATAAAGCTCAATAAAAATTAACATCCATTTATAACGGGATCGTGACTTTAACCGTGGTCTATGTTCGATAACAATATTTTACCTTATATTTTCGTACTTTCGTCAAACTTTTTTCTCTCAAATATTTTACCTTATATTTTCATACTTTCGTCAAACTTTTCTCCCTCAGATATTCTGATAATAAAAAAGCACGATCTTTATGCGGATCGTAAATAACGTTGCATCGTGCTTTCGTATTTTCCACAAACCAAAGAAACGTGGCTTTACGTAACCTTAGCTCAATTATTACGCAGCTCGACACAGATCCGACTCTAAATCCATCTAATGCTACGATAATTCGGTCGTAAATTCGAATTCAATCTTCCCCAAAGAACTTTCCATCGTCGAAATTCGATGAATTGTTCGATAATGAAAATTCGACGGTCTTATCGAATTGGCCGTTATCCGTTCGTACGATCGTACGTTTAAGTGTAACGATCCCGGAAAATAACGACTTTTCCGCGGATCTCGGGACAACGTTGGTAATTATGATGTCTCGTCTCATCGGCAGATAGCAACACTTTAAATGTCAAGGGCACGACATAGTTCATATTTATTGCTGCAGATAACCAGCTAATTGTTGCTACTCGACTCGTACCTCGGTTCTACCTTACAATTTGTTAATGACAAGTGCCCCTCGAGGTGAAGTATCCAGGCTTAACCGACAAGTGCTACCGAACAGAGGCTGCCACGAGTGCACTGATAAAACAAAATGTTTCCTTCCGTGTTTTGACTTTATGTATACGTCAGTCTTGTTAAATATATCGCCAGCTGTAAATATTAAGACACCCATTCGTTGACAAACTCTAATAAACTTTACGTTATTTAGCGTTTTCCAAAGTATTACAAGACACGTTATTGAATTATGGTATTTAATAGTAGTTAAATAGGTAATATTTTTCTTAACGCGAAGCTCAAGGATCAAGGAAGAGATTTGCTTTACAATTCCTTAAAACCTTAACTCCCACTCGTACTTTCCTTCTTTTCACATATCTCGCTTCTTATCCTCCTCCTCTTCAACCACTCCCTTTCTTCCCTCACTTTCCTTAACACGTTATCGATATATTGAAAGTTGTACCTGCGATTGGTGCACAACCTTCGACTTTCGGTTTTCCACGCAGTCTTCGGTTCAAGCGAATCTACGAAAAATTATGCGAATATTAGGTGATAAGTATATTTCAATTTTATGGGTTCTGACGACTCTTCGTGTGGTCTATTCGAGAACAGGTTTAAATTATTTCCAGATAAATCGGAAATATAAAGTGGATGAGAAAAGTATTGGCACACCATTGTATTTATTACAGCATTTACGATTACAGTTGGTGAATTAATTAGGCTGAAATACATTAAATTCCGTATCGTCTAGTAGTGCTCTTACGTCATTGCAACAATTTAATACGAAGAAAATGAATTGTAGAATCTGATAAAAAGCACTGTAAATAAGGTGTATGTGACAAACACGATTGACGTTCGTCATCGCTACAATTCGTGTTCCTTTATCGCATTAAAACGATTAATTCGTGCCGGTTATTTCGGGATTCTTAGTGACCCACAAACACGATTGCCAGAACGATCGCCTCATGAGCTTTCTTCCGTTCATTTTCTAGGACAGTGTAACGCACTTATCTGTCCATCGAGCACATGCACGACATATGGGCCGTAATCTCAACTTATCGTGATTGACGATAAGAGATATTTTTTTTTCGCAAGAATGAACGCTCAATATCTGTGTTATTAATATTACGAGCAATATAATAATGCGCCAGTCATATAGCAATAACGCTACATTCTTGAATAAAATGAGAAGAAAAAAAAATGCTTTGGAACAGGTAGAATAAAACGTATACTCGCGTTCGATACGTTGCATATAATTTTTTTAAGGTTTTTCGACAACCGTTTGCATTTTATAACGAGAGAAAATTTTTCCGGTATTTATTAATCTAATTCACATCGATTTTGCAACGATAACGTTTTACATTATGCGAGCGAAAAGTTCGCGCCAAGAAAGATCGATATTCGAGAAACTTAAGTTAGATCGTAACATACTGGGTGTCTCAAGATACGTGTCAATCAAGATGGTGGCTGAATTCTGATAAGAAACTTAAAGAATCATAGCCTGCGAATTTTAGCAAAAAAAAAAAGTAAAACTACGAATATTACAAACACGAAGAGTGAAAACTATTTAGAGCATTCGGGAATTAGTTTACTGTAAATAAAAACGATTCGCCCAGTTTCTAAAGTCGTGTCTTTGGAATTTCACCTTATGTATCTTTTTTTATACCTGGAAAGATTAAACTAACCTCAAGTAGCTATATTATAAATCTATAAAAAAAAGCAATATGATTGTGATTTTAATCCGCAGCTAGAATTTTATTTGTTTTTATGAAAAATAAAGTTTCTGTATTATGTTACTGTATCTTATAACTGATTGCAATTTTTCACTTTAATCTAGATTAAAGCTAAGGCATTATAGCTGTAATCTAAATTAATATTTCTTATAAATAGCCTGTTCTGTGCCACTGTAATCACGTAATGACAAGATTCCTAATGCAACGACGAACGAATAAAATAAAAGACGTTTTAGGTTATGTCTATGCCATTATGGAGGGTTAATTATCACCGCCTGTTTTACCTCTTGCGCATTTCAGTATTTTTTCAGCATTTCAATCATCCGGCATGTATCATTCTAACATCATATAATACGAAATAGTGTATAAACGTCTACGCAGTTTACGATCAATAAATATCCATTATCAAAAAATTGAATCTGAAACGCTATCGGTTATTTTCAACAGCGCGCGTTGCGTCGAGCCAACAACAAAAAAGTTCACTACCAGTTAAAACAACTGAAGGTTATGTAGTAAACGATTATGTCATCGTAGAATCCGTAATCCGTATATTCGATGGCGATTTCGTAAATACAGAAACGTAAAAATTAAATAATATATTCATATGAAATAAATCGTACGTTCAATGATAACGATACGGTCTCGCTTCGATAATCGCGTATTTGCGTAGCGAGATAAAAATATAATTACGAATTGACGTATTCGTGAATTTTCGCGGTCGAGATGATAGAAATCAGTCGACGATAATAGGACAATGAGTAAATTAGTCGAATAAGGGAATCGTTAAAAAATGTTTCCTCGATAGAAGATAGAATCTTTTTGAAGTATTTTTTTTTTTTTTTTGAATATTGTTAAAAAATGCTTGTTGCATTTTATATATCTTTTTAAAGAGGAAATATTATTTCTCAGGAATAGTAAAAAACAATGCTTTTTAACTTGTTAGGAACAATTTTTTCTTATCTTTTACGATTAAACTGTTTGTTTTACGATTAAAAAATTAAAAAAGAATGGAAATTATCGTTTATCGTATCGCGATGGTTATTGTGAATATTTCATAGTCGAATGATATTGACAAACGCAAAGATATAAATAAAATGTTAATGTAAAGTTTGTGTGTGCAGGAGGACGATAAAAATGCTACGAATATATGGCTTTCTTTATTAAGAAATGACACTATGTTCAAAAATAAAAATTTCATTTTGCAAAAGTAATATAAAAACATTTTGAATAATTTCACATTCGTGCGCACTTCTTAGGTTAATTTAATATGATTATTTAGGAAAATTTATATCGGGGTTTTTAATCGCTCGTAAAATATATCGTTAACGTGATCTAAAATGTTATTCCAGCTCTGAGAGATCAAGCTTTTCTAAGTAATCATATTCAGTCTTCTTCAATATATAGTGTCTTTATTTTGTTTTTTGAAATTGAATAGAAACTAGAGAACAGAATGATCCCCTTGAAGCTTCAACGATGCGAATCTGATTTTTGAAACTTCGAGTGCATCGATATATCCGATACACTCTAATTACATTTTATATTCTAATTACCACGTGTTAATTTAATTTTCACCAATACGACGATATTCGATTTTTGTTAATTTACTTTTTAAAATAATTATCAATACTCGTGGCCTTCTCTTCAAGAATAATCTTCGAAGTTTCAAGAACATTCTGCTATGTAATTACTACCTCTTAATTTAATTCTCTATTAATTACTATCGATTATAAATTTTACAGGAGTAGCTCCAACTTTTTCTCCCGACGTTATTTTTACAAACTGACCGCGCATGAAAAATTGCAACCACGATAAATGGCTACGCGAATTATCTCTGAAGCGGGAGGCTGAACACGATAACGCGTCCCATTTTGTACTTTGAGCAACACGAGAAAACGTCGTGCAAGTTTACACCATGCCGAATAGATCGGACATTTTTTACCAAATATTGCACAAGTGGCTAGAATCCCATCTGCCCTGTGAATCGCTCAACCATTATCTCCTATTATCTGCCAGAATTTTTTTTATCGTTGGTCGTGCTAGCGATACATTGCCGTCTCGAACGAAACTTTCGTAACGATCAGACCGCTGTTTCTCGATATAGCTTTTTCCCCGAGTATCAGAATCTCGAATGTCAGAAAAACGTTCAACACGAATTTATAAAGTCATTTAGCCCAAAATGGATCAAACGAAGTAAGAAGCGTATATTTACACTGAATCATTAACTTTACAAACGAGAACCGTTGAAACTTAGAATATCAGCATCAGTGGTGTCTCAAATAATTACGTACCCTTAATTAGTAGCTTGAAATTATCAAATTTAGAAATCAGTGTCGTTGAAATTTAGAATATTAACGTTAGCGGTGCTCAAAATAAATATATCTCGATTTTTTAATTTAGGCGACGGCCGTGCGCAATTCGATTTTGTCGACTTTATCGATGACGAGTGATCGCTAAAAACTAGGAACATAAAAAAGAAGAGAATCGATTTTCGTAAAATTCCAATTGTGATCTATAATCGTCCTAATATGGTCAGGAGATTCTGTTTTCGTCTTTCCCCCTTTTTACGATTCCTATCTAGGGGAAGGTTGGAGAGGACAGCATTTCTATTCAGGTTGAGTGTTTGAGTCAAGAAGGTTTAGTTGGTATCTCGGTGATGTTCAAGTTTTTCGGGCATGTGATCCTTTTCTTGCACAATTGGGAATTCTTTTGTGTCCAGAGTATGAGCTTCCGCTGATGTACAAGTTTCTGGTGCTGGCGTTAATTCGCAAGGTATTTGAGATGGCGGCAACTCGCAAGATTCTGGCGCTGGCGATAATTCGCAAGATTCTGGTGCTGACGGCAATTCGCAAGATTCTGGAACTGGCGGTAATTCGCAAGATTTGGGGGTTGGCGTTGATTCGCAAGATTCTGGGATTGGCGGTAATCCGCAAGATTCTGGCTGTAATTCGCACGAGTCTGCCGTTGAGAGCAATTCGCAAGATTTTTGCACTGGCGGTAATTCGCGAGATTCTGGCGCTGCTGACAATTCGCGAGATTCTGGCGCTGGTGGTAATTCGCGAGATTCTGACGCTGGCGGTAATTCGCAAGATTCTTGCCCTGATGGTATTTCGCGAAATTTTGGCGCTGGCGGTGATTCGCGAAATTTTGGCGCTGGCGGTAATTCGCAAGATTCTTGCGTTGGCGGTAATTCGCATGATTCTTGCGCTGGCGCTAATTCGCATGATTCTTGCGCTGGTGGTAATTCGCATGATTCTTGCGCTGGTGGTAATTCGCAAGATTCTTGCGCTGGCGGTAATTCGCAAGATTCTGGCGCTGGCGGTAATTCGCATGATTCTTGCGCTGGTGGTAATTCGCATGATTCTTGCGCTGGTGGTAATTCGCAAGATTCTTGCGCTGGCGGTAATTCGCAAGATTCTGGCGCTGGCGGTAATTCGCAATATTCTGGCGCTGGCGGTAATTCGCAAGATTCTTGCACTGGCGGTAATTCGCAAGTTGCTGGCTCGTTTTGGCTTCTCATGAACACTTCATCGGTTTCTTGCGGTGACGAGATCTGGTCTGAAAGAATTATAGTTTCGATATTGGTTAGCATTTTTGATATAAAGTAGTTGATAAATAGCAACAGTAATAATTAGTCTTTAAACTATGGACGTGTATGCAAATTTATATTTTTATGAATGAGATTGAAGGAATGGAAGGATTGAATGTTAATGGATATTTGTTTCACCTTTAAAGTACTTCAATCACGAAGATATTCAACAAAATTAAATACGTACCTATTGGTAATTGCTCCGACGTAGACGTTACTTCATGATCGATAAACTGTTTACACGTACAGATCGGCTTTCGGCGTTCGGATACTAAAAAAACAAAAATTCATTGATAAATTTTTCATTGAAATTATTCGCCAAATAATTGTCGACATATTTCAATGAGACTGAAAATGACAAAGCAAATGGCACTTAACTTGTTAAGTGGGATTTCTTGGAATTTCTTCTTTAAATACGAACAGAGAAATACTCTTAGGAGAAGCTACTTAATATAAGCTGCAACTACTTGTGAATTGATACGCTACGAATACACATATCGAATATATGTTCTTTGCATATATTCTGTATATACGATGTTTTAGAATTTTTCGATCGAATTTCAAAGATCGATTCTTTTCTAAAATTTCATAAAAATGTCAAGATAAAATAATTCGCGAAACGCACGAATAAAAATCTGGCCAAAAAATCCGAAAACACTATGTACGTTTCCTATAAAATTGTTAGTAGGATAAGGCTGTCGAAAAATGGTTCACGAGACACTTCACATTTAACATTGTTTCTATGAAACCATCTTTATTCTAATCAATGATCATTGGTTGAATTAGTCAGATTGGAAATTCCCTGCCTCGTAGCATCGGCTGGAAGAGTGGTTCACCGGAATAATCGGCTCGATGGATAGTGATTGTTTCGGTGAACTACTCGGACAGCCGATGGCCGTGTAAGAGACGGTGTCGCAGTCCTCGTCGAATTCCTTTGCCGACGAATACACGGACTCACCCGAACTGTCCACGCCGTATTTCTCGCCATCCAGGGTGCCCTCCAATTTCTCCAAATTCGGCATCTGCAATTTTGAATGGAAATATACTGCGTAAAGTGATAAATTACATAGAATACAAAACGACGCTTATAAAATAATTATAAAGTAATATAGATAGAAAATAGAGGGAAGCCTATTTTTCTTTTTTTTCATAGGAAATACAAATTTAATCTACCGTCGTTTAAACAAAATTAATATTTTACTGATAGAAAAAAATCGATATTCTTTTGATTGAAACACTACATAAATTTATCTGTCAACGATCAAGTCATAACTCTCTAACGTGGTGTCATCGTCAGTCAACGTGTTAACGTGAGTTTACGAGATTTTTAAATAGGTATTTTCATCGAATTATTCGTATATTTCTACCTAGGTATTTTAATATAATTATTCAAATCTTCTTCAAATATGTATTTCAATTGAATTATTTGAAATTTTATTTAATTACGTATATTCGACTTTACTGCAACATTATTTCAATCTAAATACGACAATAAATTCTTCAACACACATTGATTATTGTCTACAATTATTATCAGATTACTACATACAACAGACTGTGTCTTGAAACGATACGATGAATTCCTAAGTGTTCTACTGCGAACTGTTTCATATCCACATTAAACACAAAATACAGAACTACTTATACTACTAGCAAGACTACTACTTATATTGATTTTACCACTGTCTCCGAAGATGTTAGCATAGCCACGTTTTGGAGAAATTCATTAGCTTCCTTCTGAATATCCCTCAACTCCGTTAAAGACACATCTTTTTCCGCTTCGTCGCTGCTCACCGAGCTGGATGCTGTGTTGATCCCTGTGCTACACGTGGCAAGCTAAAACACCAAACCACAAATTTTCCTACAAAAAATTGTAAATTAAAATAATCACGAACATATAATAATCTTGTTACTAATAGCCTTGTTTGTCGATACGTCTAAATCATCAAACTCGAAATAAATGTCAACACTGGACCGTATCAATTTTTCAAAATATCAGGTCACCTTTTTCATAAGCTTAAAAACTAAAGAAAACTAAAGCAGTAGGTAAGACGATTTTCTACATTTCTAAATATATTCTCAGAGATGTGAATTTGCATAAAAATCCACAGTTTACGTCATTAGTAATCGCTTTACTAGTACAAAGGTATAAACTTATTATATTACACTTGACTTGTGAAATATTCTTTTTCAAGACTCGACCTCGTCGAACTTGACTACGTTGAACGAGGCATTAAGCTTAAAAGAATATACGTAACCATGAAAAGTTCATCCGTGACGGTCAGTGTGTTTGATTTTTAATTACACAGATGGAATACTCACGTTAAAATCTAAATCGTCTGCGCTATCTTCCATGGCCAATCTTCCAAGTTTCACATCCAGCGTTTCGCCATCCGACCCGTCGATATTCTCTTCATCCGAACTGATCTGAGAAAATTTGCGCTTCGCTTCATGGTGTATCGGACTGTCGACAGATTCTGTGGTTGATTTTTCGTCCGGCGTTGCCACCTTCGATCATTTCGTACATTTATAAATAATAATAATTATGAATAATATAGGGAATGCATCGCTTAAAAGTAATGAATATTTTATATTAAGCATACAATTACATAGATATCCAATCATATAATTGTACGAGACATAACTGAAAATAAAAGAAAATAAAATGATAAAATAACTATAGACATCGATGACAATACTCACGAAATAATTACGAACACGAATTAGAATAATAATCAAACAAACAAATGCTACATGAACCATAAAACCTTCATGATATTATCACAAACTATTCTGTTAAACTCGTTTAAAATAAAATTTGCTCAAGTCCAGGAACAATTTATTCAAAGGATAAATCTTACTTACCGGTTCAAGATCCGTATGACTTATGCGAATTTTCGTTGGTGGTGGCGAAGGCAATGATTTGGACGTATCCAAACAAGACAAAGTCGACAAAGTCAATCTGATGGATCTGATTAAGGCCTTCTTGGCCTCGATCATCGTCAATCTCTTGTCCTACATCCATCACCGAGACTATTATCGTACTAATTTTAATTATGTGTCTAAAAACTAACCGAGCTTGAAGAAGGATGTCTACTCTTACAGTAATTAAAGTCGATTACTATTGGATAAAACATTCCATAACACAAACAAACTTCCTACAAGCTTTTAGAATACACGCATAAACGTTTCTATTTATACTACAAACATAGGAAAATCGATATGCAAACAGATAAGTACCTATACAAGAAAACGTGCAACGAGATTGACAGTACGTCGATTTACCTTGCTAGTCGGACTACGCCGCATTGATCTCGCTATCTTCAAGTTCAGCGCTCTTAATCGTCTACGACTCCTTTGCACGAATCTTACCTGTAAACAAATATTTCGCAGATCTATTAAGAAACATTTTACGCTTTCGTGATCCTTTACGCGGACTCCAATTTTTTTGATCGTAATTCAAAAATTGAAACCTCGACAAATTCCTGTCACCCGTTAAATATTATAGTTGATACTCTACATTCGATGTTTTATATATTTTCGCACATTATGCGATATATTATTATTGTATTATTATGCAATAATGTCGCCAAAGCGATTATAAATTTGACTAAAAATTCTTTGAGAATTATATCACTACATACCATTGTAATCGGTTGGATTTGTGGATAGCCGAAAATATAAGCACCAACGTTAATTGTACATCTGATGATTCGAAGGATCAGTAATCCTGGCAGAAATATTATCCACGGTAGCGGTCTGACAAGTTGCATCTTCCCGAATACTTTACCTTTGTCCTCTGTTTTATAATACGAAACAATATAAATTAGTCCATCCAATATTGTCGATACAAATTGTCAAATCGTTTGAAGTTATGATAATGCATAAAGAAATAAATTTGTAATATCTTTGGTTATAATAATAAAGTAGATTAGAGTAGTTGGTAAAACAATTCAAACATACCAGCTTCGATTTCCTGAGCTGGTAAGCTCCATTGTGCAGACTTTTCGATACTCCAGAGAAACGAGTCGACCATTTTGAAGAATGCTTGGCCTACGATAGTTTGTGACGTGGCGATAAACACCGATCCTAACCATCCTTTAATACCTTCTGGCGTCTTGGGTATGTCCTGAAGAAGATTTCAAAAGAAGTTAGTTTCTTTATTATCCTGTTTAATTTAATCACTTTTTACATCAACTTTCAATACTCACAGAGGTCGTAGTTACTTCATTCTCCATGATTAAATTTGATCTAAAAATGATGGCAAATTCTGGATAATCAATTACTAAACAAACTATAGTACACATATTTATAATGTATGTTCGAATAATACGGGTCGGAATCGTTGCCTGTGATTGACAAGCGTACGCCCTGAGATCCGATCTGCAGCGATCGCGCGCCATGTGTTTCGTTGCACGTGAATTGCTCACGTTGAGACTCGATTGCTTTTCGGCTAGCGTGTAACGAACGCGTAAAAATTATTTGCAATTTCGAATTGACATCCAGACGTACTGTGTGTTATCACAGTTTATCGGATACTCGATTGGTAGTCGAGAAAGAAGAGGACTGCAACTTTCGGATCTGCTCTGATCAAACGAAACGTAACGAAACGTTCAACGGAAAGTGTTACGTTCGCGTGATTGATCGGCTCGAAACCCGAAAAACCAAAAACACGATATCCATCAGCCGTTGCAAAAGACGAAGTTTCCAATGGCAAATGTTTATTATACGTGTTTTAATTTCGATATTTGATCACTTAGAATCTCGTATGAATTTTAAGTTTAAAAATGTGAATTTAATATTTGGAGAAGAGTACGTCGATAATTCTTCGTTGCAGAAGAAACGAAAACACGGGCTATCGATAGTGAGCTCGATATCGATATATAGGATGGTTGGTAACTGGTGGTACACGAGGAAAGGGGGTAATTCTACGCGAAAAAAGAAGTCAAAAATATAGAATAAAAATTTTTTTTTTAATTTTTCCATCGAGACAACGATCTACAGTGAGATCCGTTATAACGAGACGAGATAAAGTGGACGCGTACCGAGCGAAAATTCAAAGTCGATTTTCTCGAAAACAAAGCCTCGAACGAAAAATTGTTATTCTATATTTTCGACTTATTTTTTCGCGTAGAATCACCCCCTTTCCGCTTAGTTACCAACCACCCTGTATAATACATACACGATAATAGAATAGAAGTTAGTTAAATATTTGTTAATTAATTCGAATTTTCCTATTAAGAAATAATTTTAGATACGGAACACACGTTAACGGTAGCATAAATTTCAATTAAGATATCTTTTATGTAAATCTTCGCGGATAACCTGAAATGTTGAAGTCTTAAATGAAATAATTTCGATATAAATTATTACGAATATAAAGATAGAGAGTTTAGTTTATTTTATATTTAAAAATGATTATTTGAATTGTTTTATTTCGATGGAAATGACGTTATTTATAAATTTATGTAACAGACTAGAAGTTCATACGTCGATTCAAGTATTACTATGCATCGATAATTATAACATTTATCGTTAGATAACATTTTTACGTATTAACTTTTAATTCTCAAGAGAAGAAAAATCGAGGTGCTGCGCCATTCCTATTCAGCATCCCGCTGTTCCCTCGTTACTTGTATATCTTAAAACTTAGCCAACGATTAAGTATGCCATTAAGTGATGTTAGCGATAAAAAAAAGAAAGTTATCCAGATATAAATTTTCCAATCTTTTACCAACTTATTTCACTGGTTTTAGATAATTTTATTCGATTGACTAATTCGTTAGATATAATAATAATTCCTGATTTCAATTAATAAGACAAACCTAGATAACGAATCTGCAAAGTTTTACGTAAGATCGAAGATTCGGCTATCTTGTAGCAATCGTTATTCCCGACATATTAAAGAAAATAAAAAAATACATATTTAATCTGAAAATTGAGCAGCTTAGTTAACATTTGAATTAGGATCGCTCCCTTACAACGAATATGAAAAATAAATGTCAAATATGAAAAATAAATTACTTTACAATTAACAAAATAATAAATAAAAATTGTTACGAGATATCTTCAGTTTTCTATTGTGAAAGACATTACATTTACTTGAGTATTCTCGCCTCACATGTTACTCAAACAACTTCACCCAATTGCAAACGTTTAACAAGCCATACTTTGATTAAACATTTGCTTCCATTGACGACATACTTATATTAACGAAAGAACGGCAAACGATTTGCGAAAACATTACTTAATCAAACGAATCCACGATATTTTTTTTTTTCTCGCCTGATATTTGATACTTGACTCATTCTAAAAGATCATCCAATAATGAATGATCATTTTTGACGGTGAATAATCAGAAAGTTCGTATAGTGGGGAACACGTGATAACAATATTATTCGTAATTCAAGTTCTTTTTATAAAACCGGTATAAATAGTATCCACTTAATTTGTTCAGATTATCCTACGTAAATTGGCATAAAATCGTAAAACAACCACAATAATTATACGACATCGCGTCGATTGCTCCGTTGGCAGGAAATTAGCGAAATAAACGGCGAATATTTAACGAAGGATAACGCAAAATCTCGAGGTTATCGTATAAAACGTTCATTCACAACGCAAAATGTTCCAGAAATGTTGCCACCCACTAGTTTCGTATTTTATCTGGTACGAAACGATTGAAAATTTTATACCGAAATCGGTATTTTGTATTTCTATCATTCATTATATTAGGTTCGTGACGTTTGAAAGACATATTTTTGTAAGATATCTTTTCTTCTAGAAATCAGAGAAATAACGTTTAACGAGAGATATACGTTATTCATATATCGTATCTACATGTTTGACATCTTATACTTATGCAATTTATCGCATCTTTATTTTATTCCTTTACTATAGTTTACAGACAGCAGTAAACTCTCGGAAGCGATAAAATTCACTATCTCGGTAACTGACAGGTGTAAAATTTGTAAAAAAAAATATATACACGGTAATAATTTAACTAATAACCCAAGAACTATGACGAAGAATATTAAAATCTTGATTTTTTTAACCAACAACACGCGTATCGTATATTTACAATGCCAACATTTAAATTAAGGCAACATAAATTAAGCACAATTCCTACAAAATTATCGTCATTCTATCGACACTTACAGTCGTAAACAAAACAACTTGGAAATAAAAAAGGAGCGTAATATTGCTGCGAAATTATCGTCGAATAATCGACGCTTAACGAACGAAGTGGCACTAAAAACATTAGCATAATGTTAACGTGCAGTTGTTCGTGCAATAGACGTTGACTGCGTTGTACTAGCATTGCGGAGCAATAATAGAGCCATTACTCTCGCTGAGTAAAGCTTCCGTGATAGAAACACGTTCGCCTATGACACGAACCTAATAACATTTTCCACTTTGTTCCTGGCGAGAAGGGTTTTTACCGTTGGTTGGTGGGTTCACGTGAATAAAACTCACTTCCATTAAACCGTAATGAAACGGTAATAAATAAACAATAAGAAATGCAACGGTGATAATTCGCTATCAGCAAGGCATGACCCCGTCCTATCGCTTAGTGAGAGCAGAAACACCCATGAGCGTCGAATGTCCCTGATGAAAAACGCGACGATCGTCGGTATCAAATAAAAAGAGAATCTTTTGCTAATTTTTGTTTTTCAATCATAGAACAAGTGTCTATGTGACTTTTACTTATAGAACGAATTTTTCTTATTAATTTTCATAGTGGAATATAGTTTTGGAACGAGTGTAAACCTTAAGGGATTAAATTGAATGCTAGATGTTAATAGTTGTTAAAATAAATTGGTAAAACGCAAAACAGACATCGATAAAACGCTATAGTACAGTGACATGTAGATAAGATAAGCTTCGAAGTAACTTGGAGACTAGATTTAACGGGATGCAGGTACAAAATCTCATAATGTTATAGGTGTTACGAAGCACATAACGTTAACTGATTAAGGACTAATCGATAGCTGGAAATAAAGATAATTTACGGGTCGTCTTGCCGAGGTACGAAAAACAAAGTATATTAGGATAGTAAATCGAAACACACGAAAGAAATGTTCGTGTTTCCAAAATGATGCCATACCATCGTAAACGCTTGGATTTAGCTTGTATAATTTTACAATGTCAAAATATAGAATTCAACAGTGTAGATTGATTTAACAAAATTGCCAAAAATAAGTAATAAATCAAAATAAGTTTGAATTTTATTAATTGAATCCTTCGCGTTGTCATTCGTAATTACGATATTTAAAAAACGAAATTCAACAACGTACGTAAATTGATTGGAAAAAATGGGAATAAAATGTTGCGTTAATGTTAGTTCTTAACGAGTCAACGTAATATGATCGTCGTTGGAATTCAAAGCTTCCAAGGAAATTCACTTTTAACCACCTTTTAACCACCATTCAAGGTTGATTCGCTTTCTGTTCGAATTTCATGAAATCGATACATTATCACGGACAGTGGCTCGAAATTTTTCTTGTCGAGGCCGTAACAGCAGCAAATAAACAATAAAGGAAAGCAACGATAATTTTGCTATCGAGAAGGCATGACCCGTCGTTATCCATCACTGAACGCTGAAACTCCCATAACGAAACGCGCAAACGTGAAATAAAAATGAACAGAAACGTCGTGAAAAATATAGTATACGATACACGTTACGAGTATACGTTGGCAAATGTACGTAATTACTTTTTATATTACTGATAAAAAAAAGCAGAAAAAGGCGAGCTGCTTCGGGGAAAAAATACGATATCGACCTTGGATTTATTGTTATTGGATAATTTTTATTATTCAATAGATAATATATAAAATATTATACATAATTAGAAATTATTATAAGATACTTAAAATTCTGGAGAAATATTATTACTATTATTATATATTGTTCAGTTATTTAATACACAGGGTGGTTGGTAACTGGTGGTATAAGCGGAAAGGGGGTGATTCTACGCGAAAAAAGAAGTCGAAAATATAGAATAACAATTTTTCGTTCGAGACTTTGTTTTCGAGAAAATCGACTTTGAATTTTCGCTCGGTACGCGTGCACCTTATCGCGTCTCGTTTTAACGGATCTCACTATAGATCGTTGTCTCGATGGAAAAATTTAAAAAAAGAAAAAAAAATTTTTATTCTATATTTTGGACTTCTTTTTTCGCGTAGAATCACCCCCTTTCCGCTTATACCACCAGTTACCAACCACCCTGTGTATTAAATAACTGAACAATATATAATAATAGTAATAATATTTCTCCAGAATTTTAAGTATCTTATAATAATTTCTAATTATCTTCAAAATATTGTATTTACGTATATGTGTATTGATTTTGTGGACACGACCACGAGCCAACTCCCTTTTCAGAACAAAAAGGCTAGAAAATAAAGTTATCTATCGATATAATATTAATAACAATAAATATTATGAAATAATATCTTTCTTACAAATAAAAATCTTTATTACTAAAGTTTTTCTGTCAAATCATAATCTTTGTTAATGATAAAACAATGGTAAAGCACCAAAATTATTTACGGTTGCAATACTGAAATTAAAAACGAAATAATAATCTCTGTCAATAAATAATATGTTTTCTTCTGCGTAGAAAAGTTTTTACTAAGAAACACAGACTTTCTGGCAAATTATAATTTTTAGTAATAAATATAGTCCTTTCAGTAAATAGATAATATTATAAATAATTTAGTAAATAATGATACGAATTGTATTATAATTATTATTTGCCAAAAAACCTGTGTTTATTAACAACAAATTTTTACTTACATGAAGGATGTTATTTCTCGGTAAAAATTATTCCATTTTAAATTTTAGCGTTATAGGTACCACAAATAATTTTAACGTTAACATTATCTTAAATGAAATTAAATATTTTCATCTATTCCTGATGCAATACGTTTCTATCGCGTTCTATCTATTCTTGATTGCTTGGTCGTTTATTTTATAAGAATTTAATAAGATAAAATAAAATGCAACGTATGTCAATCAGTTGCTAATTATAATAGTGTAATTAGAAGCAATCAAGGTCATGTAAACATGTACATAAATATAAACATAATTCGATTCCAGATAAATTTCATTCTTCTGACAGTCTTTATGCTTCAAAATTTATCATCGTTATTTCTGTAAGCAACCAATAAATAATTTTCAAGCAATTGTTCCATTTATATGCATTTAAACACATTCCAAGACTTACAACGATACCTGTATTTATGCTACTTGCACGTATCGTAAAATCAAGTTTAACGTTATCGTTAGCTCCTCGATTAAATTTTGACTATTTTTAAATATACTTGAAAGATTGATTAAATAGATACACTAAAATCGGACATATTATACGCAAAGAATGTTAACGAGACTCACCTAGACACGTCGATACACGTTGCTCACGACCAACTACTACAAAAGAACCTTAGAAGAAGCTCGTTTTTCTGTTGTTTAGGTCGTCGAGGGCAGAATAAATCGAACGGTTAGCAAATCTATCCAAACTCTTTGAATTTGAATCGTTCCACGAAGTATTCTGTAGTCGAGCATCTATCGCTCCATTTTCGAAATGAGATTCAAATTCGTAAAATCTGATTATAATTCAAGGCTCGATATTCTCATAGAATATATGTTTCGTTGTTAATGACGATAAACATAGAGGGAGCCCTTCTTGGCTCAAATAAGAGATTTGTTGATAAGCTTGACATATAAGAGGAAACAACGATATAACGATGTAAATGGGAAAAAGAAAAAAAGTGGTGTCATGGTATATTTATAAATAATAGAAATGTTAATAATTAAATCTACGGTGAGTAACGTTGAAACTTATAGAATGAAGAAGATCGATATCGAAATGCCCCAAATTCATTCACATTTCTAGCAAGTTCTGACAAATTCTACTAAAACGAATTATTCCGAAAGCAGCTCGCAATTTTTAATCGTAAAGCAACGGTTCAAATTAGTTCGTCTTAATGCATCGAAACAAAATACGTGATATATCAACAACAAACCCAACTAAACAAACTCGATAGCTAATCAAACCGATGAAGTGAATAAACTGTTCTCAACCAATCGAATGAAACCAAAAACGTAAGAAAGAAAAGGTAAGGAAAACGGAGATACAATCAAAAATTACTTCCAAACGGAGCACGAAAGAATACCTCCGCCTTCCGATAAATGAATCGGTCACGTCGAGCTCTATATCCTATTCGATCCAAACCAATCTAATCGAACATCAAATACCATCAAACGTTCATGGTAACCTCTTAAACGCGAGTCGAAAGGCAATCGACTC